ACACACACACACACACACACACACACACACACACACACACACACACACACATTCATGCGCACGGGCTCTTTCTTTCGCTTTCTCACCTCTCCTCTCTCTCTCTCTACAATTCATTCTCGCCCCCGTTACCCCAACTCTCCGTCTCTCTCTGCCGTCCCTCCCTTCCCCCTTTCTCTCTCGCTCTTTATGTCACTAAAGAATAAATAATGTTTACTTTGTTATGTTCTAACGGTTTTCCTAGTTTATGCAGTTAGGGGATTAAAAATAAAATTCGTTAAAACAAAGAAGTCCGTCAATATTACTCCCCCCACCCAAACAACTCACCATCCCCCAATTTGCTATTTTCCTTGCTCCCTTCAAGTCACCTTTCCCTTGTATAACTTTCAGAAATTGCAGAAAATATTAACTTACTGAAACAGTCAGACTGACTTATAAATTCAAAATTTAGCCATACAGCACCGAATTCTGAAAATTGTGATATCGGGAGAATATATTATACAAACCTGCTTTCAGATATGTTGTGTTCCCAAGAAATTAGGCATGGTTTCTCGATATAACCGGATCTACCCGCCTCCCCCCTCCCCCCTCCCCACACGTTTTTGTTCTTTTGCTCTTCTAAACAATTCGGACACACATACAGAATAGAATAAAATAGAATAGAATAGAATAGAAATCACACAAACTTACTGTCACACTCGCTGATCTTTCTGAATCCTTGCTTTTGCGCATCTGCTTCCGTACGTGGCATGGAATTGAAGGCGTTGGAAGCAAAGGGGTTGGCGTTCCATGTCACTGTAAAGAATCATGTGGGTTTTTAAAAATTGTTTAACGATAATTTTGTACAAAATTTAGGGTGCTATTAGTGTAATTTAGATATTGATTTAGAGGTGAGTTGCTTCAACCCTGTCCACCAGGGCCAACCAGGACTGAGCGGGGTACAACATCCCAGCACAAAGGAAGAGGTATATATATGTCACATATATATATATATATATATATATATATAATATATGCCCTATAGCCTCCTCGAGTCTGTTTTCTCTGCAGATCTGTGTGTTCAGGGACTGGCTTATATGTTCTCTCCAAGAACACTTCCTTGACAACTGTTTTGTTACATTATTTTCTTTATTTTCACTATCAGCTTTGATAAAGATAAAATTCTCAGTCTTAACATTGTATTGTGGATGAAGCGACTAACATTCACTTTTTCATACTAATCAGATCATATAATTTGGTCCTGCTCTGCAAGGGAGAATTTATATCTTTAAAGTTGCTGTCTACCATCACCAGTGGCATTTTCAGCTCGTGTGTTGTTCGATATGTTCCGCTGGACGATTGGAGATCTGATGTTGTCGGTTGCTCGGGGGGAGGGGAGAGGGGCAACACCCTGAAGGTCCCAGTTCAGAAAAATATATGGATTTTGAAATGTAGGCATTTTTAGCTTCTTCAGGCTCACTTACAGCAACTATTTCATCGCATAAGAACCACCCGAGGCCGTATTTTTTCACATACCAGGCATGTTAGTCACCTCCATTTCCTCAGAAAGTTAATCTTTTTTTTTCTTTAACCCCGTTTTCTCAAAACGCGGTTTTTACAATATTATGCTTTTTAATAACTCCATCATTTTTCATCTAATCTTCATGAAATTTTCACAGAATAAAGAGATGACATAACACAAAAAGTTGGTTTGTTGAATTTTCAATATATTATATATATATATATATATATATATATATATATATATATATATATATATATATATATATATATATATATATATATATATATATATATATATATATATATATGTATATATACCTTTAAAAAAATCCAAATTGTTTTGAAAATGTGTACATATGTATATGTAGATCTATTGCCTGCTAGCTCGCTCGCGAAATAAAAATAGATTTAGATAAAACATATTTTATGTATGAAAAGTAAAAGGTGTGTTTATAAAGAGAGTGACAGCCCTAGCCTCCA